TATCCAATGCGTTGTGAGAGTCAATCATAAAATGAAACATAGTCGAATTGTCATCATGTTCAAGATTAAAAATTATCGCTTTTAAGTGTTTGAAAAAACATTTAAACAATGAAGTCAAATTAAGAATAAATTGACTTCACTGCTTAAGTGTTTTCCAAACACTTAAAAGCGATAATAATTTAGAACGTAAACGTTTCGACTCGACTCTTGCTCAAGTCCTCTTTACTACAATCATAAAAACGACATAACAAGTAAAATATCCAATATTTACATGCGTTATGAGAATTAATCATCAAATGAAGCGTAGTGAAATCGTCATCTTGTTTATGATTGAAAATTATTATCGCTTTTAAGTAATGTTTGAAAGATACTTGAGCAGTGAAGTCAAATTAGAATCAATGGTTTAAATGTTTTTCAAACACTTAAAAGCAATCAATAATTTTTAATAAAATTACGATGATTTGACAAAATGACAGACATGTGTAGACACACATGTCTGTCCACATATACAAGTTGTACACATACACAGAACAAGATGTGATAAACTTGTTTACACAGTTCTGTATATATGTTTTTCAAATCATTTTATTATAATAATTTAAACAAGCTTCCATCCCTGTCATTTGCCACGATAATCGAAAGTCGATCTTCCGCATTAGGTTGACCATCAGACGTTGATCTTCTTCGCTCATTATATGCAACGTAGATATCCTGTTGGACGAGAGCTTACATGGCCTTCTGCTTCCAATTGTTGCACTAATCTGTATACTGTTCTTCTCTGCAATATAATAAATATATATTTAAAAAATTATCCCAGTAAAGATCAATTAACATAGCTATTTTTTTCTAATAAATTTAATAGCTTATTTTTTTTAATATATTATACATACAATATTAAATATACAGGGTGTCCGGTACTTAATGGTAAAGCGCTCGTGGACAGATAGAATCGGACATCCTGTATACAGGGTGTCCGGTAATAACCGCACCAGACTTCGTGGGTAGGTAGAACAGATGAAACTGAACAGAAAAGCCCTCTACCATTTTACAAAATTTGCAATCATTAACGAGATATTAATTATTTGAAGATCGGCGAATAAACGCATATCTCGCCGCGCACCTGCATTCATGTGCAGTAGGTGGACGGATACACGTTTATTCGCCGATCTTCAAGCCGCAGAAAAGTACGTGTATAAAGCACAGTTCGAAAATTCTGCGAGCGATGAAAACTTTTTGTGCAGAAAGCGTTACTGAAATCCGCATGCGACGGATTTTTAATTAAGCAATTTGAATTCTTGACACGTTAGAGAATTCAATTCGTAGAGCGACACGGCACCTTCTCTGAATCGCACCTGATAAAGAGCATAGCTTTCGCGCTGTTTCTTTGATATCGTTGTAATTCCAAATTGTTCTGGAAGCTTCTTTTCAGGAAGTGACTTGTGAAAAAGGACAATCTAGAATTACAACGGTTTATAAAAATTTATCATCTCTTTGTTAGTTAAACGAAACAAAAAGCGTGTTATCAATGTTTAATTAGCTGCACCTAATTGCTATGGACGCCTTTGCCATTCGCGGGTAGCGTCCACTTTAGCACCTGCATTACCTGTTCCGTTTGGAGCGTATAATTGCGACGAACTTCATGCGACGTACATACGCGCGAAATACTTTCATA